ATAACAGGACGCCCACCTTACGAAGAGTTGCCTGAAAATGTGTCAGAGTTTGTGAAAGTGTTATCTGAACGGAAGGATGATATTCATCATCCAGTGCGTTTAAACTTGAAAACGTCTGCTGATTCCATGAAGCTATGTTATGATAAGAGATTTACTGAAGTCAGCTTTGTTCCAGGAGACAAGGTGTGGTTGTATAATTTCAGGAAGACCAAAGGGAAGTCTCCTAAGTTGTCTTCTCCATGGGAAGGCCCACATGACATAGTGGATCGTCTCTCAGACGTGACTTTTCGAATAAAATGTGGCTGGCGAGGTAAGCCAAAGGTGGTGCATGCCAACAGGCTTTGGCGTTATCACGGTCCAGATAATTTCAGTTGTAATGAAGTGAACATTGGAACAAATGATGCTGCTAAAGACGTGTCACCTGATAAAGCCACTGTTGAAGGAGAAACCTCTACCCGGTTTTGAGAAGGAAGACAGTGAAGCCGTCAATGAAGTTACTACCACTGATGTGACTGCTACCGATAATGGGACATTTCCTGATGAAGCAGATGAACCCCACGTGAAGCAGAAGCCAATGAAACGGAGACCAGTATGAAAGAAGAAACGTCGTGTAAAATTAAGAGACTTTGTTGTATTTTAATTTTGTGTTTGTAAATTTTGTACATTTAATTAAGTTATTATTAATTATCTATTGGTTTACTGTAAGTGGTTATTGTTCGGGACGAACAATACTAAGGAAGGGTCAGTGTTACGACAGCGGAAGTCACGTGACCCTGGGAGCATGTTCACTGCAGCTTCTCGAAGAATCATGAATTATCGGGGATGTTCGAGTTTGTTCGAGGCGCCCTTTTTTTTAGTATATAAGCCTGGCGAGATAAACCAGCGCGATTGAAGATATAGATAGATTGAAGAGACTGATAACTGCGTCAAGCGAACAGTAGGCACCATAAGTAAAGTGTGTGAATCGCTGTGATTTATAGCGTGTGTTAAAAAGGTTGTTAAGTTTAAAGTGACTGTGGAAATTCCGTGTATTACAAAGTTTGTATCGAGAAAGAATAAACTAGTTTTAATCAAGAAAGGACTTGTATCGCTGAAGTTTCTCGGAAAGAATTTATACCGGAAATTAACAAACAAGCAGATACGTAACAATATATTTAAAATAAATATAAAACACTCGGCGATTAAATGTTTAACTTATTCTTTAATTTCGATATCTTTGTCGTCTATGCGGTTAACTATATATTTCTATTTACAAACAGTAACCATGGAGGCGAGGTAATAAGATAAAAATCTAATCGTGAGAAGCAAGAACAACAATAAATCTGTTGTTTAAGACTCATAACGTAGATAAATTAATATGCAGAATTATACACGAATGAACTCTTTGTTGCCCGTTGAAGGCTCCGGTTGGAAGGCCGAAAGCTCGCAAATACAAGTATTTTAACGTAGAGACAAGTAGAAAGCCTCTCACTGTGCATCGAACGGGTTCATCCACTACTAAAATTAAAAAAGTCATAGATTCAAAATTCTGTTCTAGACTGCGTCTGCAGAATCTAGTTACGACTTTTTATTTTTTTAATTGTCTTTATCTTCTTACGTTTTATATAACAATGGCAAGCCGAGATCGTGATAGAGGTAAAAAATATGAATCTGGATCATTGAAAGGAAAAAAGCTGCTTTGGAAAACTCAGTAACACATTCAAAAGGATCTATGAGCAAATATTTGAAAATGGTGAGAGAAGTGAGTATAGTAATTAAAATAGTGAAAAATATGCGAATAATCTAATAACCTAAGTAAGTTTGATCCAATCATGTAAGAACATTTAGGTCGTGTCACAAGGAATGAAATTCACACTCGCTACTTCAGTAAAACCATACAAAACGTATTAATTGATTTTATGGCTAAAAAGGTGAAAGGCAGGAAAGATATTAGAGAAAGTAAGAGAGGCGAAATATTACGCATTTATTTCGGACTGTAAAGGAGACGTGAGTCATCGTGAACAAATGGCAATGATATTGCGCCATGTTGAACGCAATACTGGGGAAATTGAAGATCATTTTATTGGTTTTCTGCCAGTATTATAAATAACAGTAATAAGTCTGTCCAAGATAATTTTGGCAGAAATAGAAAACATTGGCTTGGCTATTATAATGGTGCAAATATGCGTGCAATAGTGAAAAGAATGGTGTAAAAGCAAAAATACTTCATATCAATTTACGAGCTTCCTTCTGTCCCTGTGGTTGTCATAGTTGGAATTTGACCTTAGAAAATGCTGTTTCATCTTGTACAAGGGCTGACATATTTTTTGGTTTACTTCAAAAGCTTTATATTATATTTTCAGTGTCTTCAAGCATGTGGGATATATTAAAAGAAAAGGTAAATATTACCCTAAATCCACTTTCAGAAACTAGATGGAAGCGCTGCATAGATAGTTTGAAAGTTGTCTGGTTTTAACTCGAATTGATCTGTGATTTTTTACTGAAGCTATCAGTCAAGTGTAAGGGCGATCCCAAACTTCGTAGTCAATGCGTTTCTCTCAGTAATGAGATCATGGTATATGATTTTTAGTATATCTTATTATACGGTATGATCTATTAATAAATGTAAAAGCTATGGTAAATTATGGCAGAGTAATAACATACATTTGGGCAGTACTATAAAGCACATAAAAGAGTTTTTACAGTGGATTGGCGAATATAAATCAACAGGCTTTGAATTAGTACTTTCAACTGCCAACGATCTGAGTTCAGAAAAGGGCGACAGCGAATAAAGAAAAAAATATTTAATTATGAAAGTGAGAACAAATGCACTAATGATTCTAAATAAGCATTCAAGATTCATTACTTTAATGTTATAGCTGAAACAACTTGTATAAGTACCGAAACCCTATTTCAGGCTCTTACAAATATGCAGAAAATTTTATATTTTTATAAACTTCGCACCATTACAGAAGAGCTTCTTCAGCATTGCAAATATCTTATGATTAATCTCAGCTTCGAAAGTTCACGCGACATCAATGAATTAGAGATATACGAAAATTTTATGTACTTTGCAGGATCATACCACCTAATACCAATATAACTCCTGCCTTGAAATTTATCATAGAAAATAACATGATCTATTCAAGTGTATATGGAGCATTTCTCATAGTCCTGACTATTCCAGTTACTGTGTTGTTTAGACAGAAAGAAGTTTTTCTCATCTTAAGCTTATCAAAACTTAGCTCTTTTCTACCATGTCTCAGGAAAGATCAGAATCGCTGGCAGTGTTATCTATAGAATATTATGTATCTAATTATCTATAGAATATTATGTATCAAACTATCTAATTATCTATAAAATATTATGTATCAAACTATCTTATTATCTATAGAATATTATGTATCAAACTATCTAATTATCTATAGAATATTATGTATCAAACTATCTAATTATCTATAAAATATTATGTATCAAACTATCTTATTATCTATAGAATATTATGTATCAAACTATCTAATTATCTATAGAATATTATGTATCAAACTATCTAATTTTTCTGATCTGATCGAGGACGTAAACTTAGTGTGCAGGAAAGTATATGTTGTTGTTTTTTTGTCTGTTTTTTGTAGTTAAGCACAATGCTACACAATGATCTATCTGTGCTATGCCAACCAAGGATATCGAAACCCGGTTTTGAGCGTTATAAGTGTTGAAACTTATCGCTATGCCACTGCAGAAAAGTATTGTTATAAAATAAATATAATGTAAATAGATTTTAAGTGAGTTGGATTAAAAATTTATATATATTTCATTTATTGATGTATATAATGATATATTCTATTCTGTCGTTATATAAAAGACTGTTTAGTGTAGATAGTGTTAATTAATTATTTTGTGAGTTAATATTTCATGATTGTTTTGTGTTGCTTTTTGTTATGATAAGAGATTTATAAGCAGAAGTTTGTTGGTAGTTGTGTTTGTAATTTATTGATATTGAGACTATAGAATGTCGCGTGCAATACATTGACGTCGAGAATATACAGATTTATAAAAATCGGGCAGACGATTAAGTGATAAACATATAAGTAGTGTGAGACAAGCGGAAACAGCAGACAGACAGAGCAAACGAGAGACTAGAGAACGGAAAGTAGAAGTACGGTCAAAGAAAAGGTTAGAAAACCTGTTAACCTTTGGAGGAGTGGATAGCCTAACAGCTGATATGTTAAAGAGAGATTAACAGTTTTCTGACACTTTAGGAGAATAATTTGTCTCATCAAAGGGTGTTCTAAAGCAATTGAACCTGCCTGTGTGGACTTTGACAAAAAGTAGACGATTATTGGAAGTATGTCTTAATAAGAAAAAGCAGACGAGTATCGGAAGTTCAGGATACAACTTCAGTGGCTCAAAGAGCCAGAGTAAATGAATTATACATGAACTACTAGTACGATAGAAATAGAGAATGGTAGTTCGGCTTGTCAACTGAAATTCTAAAACAATTGAATAGGCCTAAGTGGAATTTTTTACAACAAGAAGAGAACTATATATAGTGTTTATGACATGCCTATGATCTCTATAGTGTAAATAATTTTTTGTACATACTGTTACGTCTCCGTTTGTTAATTAACTTTCCGT